CGCAATCCCTTCTCCTCCATTCTCCTCTCGGGATCTTGGGCACGCACGCACACACACCAGGCGTGAATTTTAAGCCACTGGGCCTGGGATGCGAACCGTGGTCGACTACGTGGGAGTCCAGCGACATAGCCATTACGCTAACTGCTGGTTCCCAATACATGTTAAATTCTTGAACGGCAGGGACACAGAGACTAGCTCTGAACATACGTGAAGGCAGGCAGGTACGTGGTAAAAGCCGGCCTCCTGCCAGCCGCCTGCTGCCCGTAAGGCGGTGCTGGTGGTGGTGGTTTTAGCAGTGGCACTGGCAGTGACAACAGCTGGCCTTTATCAGGGATATGCTGCTCTAACCCTCTCACATGGGCTAACCCATGAGTCCTGACAGTCATGGGAGGCAGGTACTACCCCACTTCAAGGCACAGACGCTGAGGTGCAGAGACGAGGGGTAAGCACTTGGGTGCGGTGTGTGACAGTTAACTCTGAATCCTGTATAGGGCCAGCTCGGGTCGGGCTGATGCTTGGTCACCCACTGCCTGGCAGCTGTGTGTCCTGACAGGGGACACTTGCTCAGAAGATGTACCTTTCCCTGCAACACAGAAAGGGCTGCCTGTCCCCACATAGTGTGGTGTCACCACGGGGGTGTAACTGCTCATGTGTTCTAAAATGACCAAAGCATCCTTTGGGCCACCAGAATGCCTTACATCGATGGTTACTTTGACCTGTTTATAGGTTAAAAGCACAGAAAGGTTAAATTACTGACCTCTGTCACAAAGCAAAATACGAAAGGGAGGATGTCTAGCTATCCAAGTTGGTCTTATAACAAAGTTCATATTTTCCTTGTGAGGCTCCTCATAAAATAACTATACTCAGAAGTGGTGAGATATATTATTATCACATGTAATTTCTCCTATGTGCTTCTACACCCATCGCCAAACCTAAGGGAAAGTTATATAGTATGATAAAGACAATTTCAAACAAACTGAGAAATACCCACCAATAAATGAAACATGTCAATATCTAATATACATGGAAGGTCTTCATGGCTGTCATTAGGCACCAGTGCTAAAGATTTAAAGAAAAATACATCAGCATATTTCATGCCAATATGAATTAAAATGCAATAATCTAGCTTATAGTTACCTTTTTGCAAGATATATATGAATTTATAAGCTACAGCTTCTATATAAGAAAAACAGTATTATCAAATATTTTACTTGTAACTGAGATAAGATACGACACTAAAAATTTCACAAGATGGAACATACTTTGATTCCATTTCCCATGAACTTAAAAAAAATATTTTATTTAACTTTATTTATTATTATTATTCTTTTATTATTTCCACACACACACACACGCGCACACACACGCACACGCACACACAGAGGGGGTGGAAAGTGAGAAAGCAAGCCACCAGGTCCAGGACTCGAACCACGGTCGGCCATGTGGACGTCTAGCACCCTTAACCTCCATGTCACCTGCCGGCCTCACCCATGAACTTTCTGAAGTGCCCTTGTATTAATACTCACATGCGAAAAGTTTACTGAAGTGTCCTTGCACCACTGAGAGCGATGCTACCGTCCAATGTGCTGCTGCAAATCTTGTTAGTGACCTAAGACAGTCATCCTGAAACAAACCGCAGAATTGATGGATGCAGTTAACAAACCAAGAAGGCAACATACGAGCAGTTCTCTTCTTTCAGGAACCGCACAGATCCTAGTTCAAAGCACAGCTGGAAACACAGTGAATTCTCTTTGAATGGTGTAGAACTGAACACATGGCATCTTTAATGACATATGCCTGACAAAGAATGAAAGGAATGGGAAATATCTAATTGTATGCAAAAGAGACAAAAGTTATCTCCTATTTACCACAATGCTGGCTCACCAAGAATACACACATCCAGACAGACAGTAAGCAGCAGACATTCACAAGAAGCTGAGGCTGTACCTGTTAAAGAGATATTCTGAAATGCAGGGGAGATTCCAAATACTGGGAAAAACTATGCAAGATGATGGAAGCACAAATTAGGTATTTTAAAGCCATAAAGAAATGTTGGGAGGAATGGGAATCAGCAGGTGACATGGTGGTTAAGGCGCTAGACACTCCCACGTGGCCAACCACAGTTCGAATTCTGGACCTGGTGGCTCGCTTTCTTACTTTCTCTCTCTCTCCCTTCTATCTCTAGTCAAATTAAAATAAATGAATGAATAAATAAAATTAAGTAATTCTTTAAAAAAAATTGCGAGGACTAAGTAGCAGTAGTAGGAAAATTGTCAAAGCAACTAGTGCATAAGGAACAAAACTATAAGTGAATACACTATAATCAGGTATAACTATGCTAATGGAAAAGATGGATGGGTGGAAGGTTGATAAATTTTTCTTTCTGCTTACTCTCTACTTTGCAAATGTTCTCTTCTTTTGGTTCAGTACTATGGAGGACCTACCAAACACTAGACCTTGGATTTGAAAATCTCAAAATGAAAACTCATTCTCCTTTCTCCTGGTCTCAAAGAGGGATGCAGGCAGGAAGAGGAAGAAAAGGATGCAGGAGACAATTGAAAGGAGAGGTACCATGGACAAATGATGTCTAACTTACAGTAAGTGGCTCAGAGAAGTCTCTCAGGGAAAGCAAAGCTTAAAGAGTGTGTTAAAAGAGTCGGGGGTGGGACCAGCAGTTAGCGTAATGGCTATGTCACTGGACTCCCACGTAGTTGACCGTAGTTCATGTCCCGGACCCGGTGGCTTAGAACTCTTGCCGGGCGCGTGTGTGTGCGTGCCCAAGATCCTGAGAGGAGAATGGAGGAGAAGGGATTGTGGCGTGGCCATCCCCCCTGGGGGGTGATTTCTCACTTTCTGTCTCTCTGTCTCTCTCTGTCTGTCTGGCGAGAGCACGTGCCCTATAGCAAAAACTTCTCAAAAAGAGTCGGGGGTTGTTTAGAGCGCTTGAGGCAGATGGAATGGAGAACATAAAGACCTGGGAACTCGCATGTAGGATTTGGCAGTGAGTCTACAAGTCTGGGCCAGGGACTGGCAGGAGGTGACGATGGAGAAACAGATGAAGACATTTGAAAATGTAGAGTATGGTCAGGAATGGTTTTTGGAAGAACGGCGCTGATACTGTGCTCGAGGTGGGTAAAATCCAGGATGAAGACTACTCTAATAATCGGGGCGAGAAATGATACGGGGCTAATCTAAGTAAGTAGAAGTAGGAATGGGAAGGACAGGACAAATATGCAGCAGGGGAATCCAGCAGACTGCTGGCCACCTGGAAATGAATGTCCAGCCAGATGATGCACCCAAGAGGACTTTGATGTCCTGGCTCGGTCACCTACATGGACAGTGGCACCATTAACTGAGTCAGAGAATACAGGAAGAATTAACTTCATTGGCTGTATTTTAGGTACCTTTAGAAGATCCTGGTTTAAAATAATAATAAAAAAAAAAAAGCAGGCAATACGACAACAGACCTGCACCTGTGATAAAAGTCTGGGTTGGAGACACAGACGGGAGCCATGTGGGTATAACTGAAACCGGAGGCCAGGTGGGGCTGGCCAGGCAAGAGTATCAGATGACTGAGGGTCCTAGGCAGAACTCTGGGGTTTAAAGTAACAAGTACAGGATGAAGACGAGAGAGCAGACTGAGAAGGAGAAACCAAAGAGGAAGGAAGAATGCCCGGAGTGTCACAGAAATCAAGAGACAAAATAAGTTTTAATGGAAGCAGTTAACAGAATTCAGTATACAGAGATTCCAGATAAGGTAAGGGTTGAAAGATGCCCACTCAAAATGATAAGGAGGCTTATCATTTGGTGAACTTGCCAAGAGCTGTTTCCAAAAAGTAAAAGAGTATTAGGAGTAGAAACTGTATAAAGGGAACTGAAATGTAAATAGCAAAAACATGAAGCCAGGGTATACGTTATTCTTTACACAAGTTTTGCTGTGAGGCTTGCTCCCAGCAAAGCAGCCAGATCCCACATGGCTGACTGCAAGGTCTGAGTCTCAGACCGGGCAACTTGAGAATCATGTTGGGTGCATGTTTATATGCACCCAAAATCCTGAAAGGAGGGAGAAATAGAGAAGGGACTGCAGTGAGCCCATCCCTAAGGGGGTACTTTTCCTTTTTCAAAATTAGCAAGATTTGCCTTCTATTCCTTTCTTTGTCTCTCTTTGATGAGTGCATGTGCTATCTACCAAAAAAAAAAAAAAAAGTTTTGCTGTGTATAAAATTACACACATACACACTTTCTCTTTGGGACAATACAGAATAAAATTAAAAACTGCAGTCGCTATATTTTAAAATCTGTAATTAAACACTTGTCACTGTATGTATTATAAAATGAAATATGCTTTAAAGTGGCTTGATCGAGAAAGGGAAGGAAAGGCAAGGGAGCTGGACAGAGGAAGGGAACCCTGAGGGCAGCAGAGGAGGGACGAGTGAACATGCTGGTCCAGAGGAAGTCCAGGACACAGCGGTAAAGAGAAGGGTCCTTGAAGGAGAGGGGGCGGAGTCAAGATAACGGGATCCTGGCATCCCAGGACGTAAAGTGGATGGAGATGTCCGTAAGTTTGAAGAGTGGATGTCAGTAAAACAGAAGTAGTTCACCTCTAATAGCTATATACTTTAAAAAATTAAATGAAAATATTTAAAGAATAGACAGTATTTCAGACCAGCATAATTTTGATACCCCCAAATTACAAGAAAGACATGTAATAGGCCAATCTCTCTTATGAACATAAATATAAAACTGAGAATATATACACGACCAAGTTGAGATTATTTCAGAAATGCAAGGTTAGTTTAACATGCATTAAAACTTAGCCACAATAAACTCTAACCTATACATCTATGATTGCTTTTTCAATAACACGCTAAATAATTATTACGTACTGTATGGAAAAATATAGTAAATGATGATCTGACAGTTACATATCCTATTATGGTCAGAACTCATGTGAATTGTCTATAGATTTACTATAAATATACAGTTCAGACCCATTTTAACATCAGGTCCTACTCTTAGAAATCCCAATTTGGTGGGGCCAGCAGGCGGCATAGTGGTTCACTAGATCCCATAAGGTCAACTCCAGTTTGAGTCCTGAATTGGTGGCCTGGAAAAACGTGTCAGGCATGTGTGTGTATATGCCCAAAATCCTGAGAGGAGAATGGAGAAGGGAGTGTGGCATGGCCATCCCCTGGGGGGTGGGGGGATGATTTCTCACTTTTCCTCTTTCTGGTGAGTGCACATACCATATGGCAAATAAAAATAAATAAATAAATTCCACTTTGGTGATTCCAAAGGGGCCCAGCTACCCATATTTTAAAAAAGCTCCAGAGAGGGCTTTAATGCAAACCATCAGCTGAGAACCTAGGCAGAATGCATTCCGAAATAATAAAAAATGGGATCCTCAGAGTGTAGGTATTTTGTTATGAAAATAAAAGCCAGAAAATTAACTAGTTGATCTGATGCACTGTTTGTTTCTTGGCTAGGTTATAACATCAGTGGTTCTCAATCCCGACTCCCAGGGAGCTTTTAGAAAGCATTTTACCAGTGTTTCACCTGTGGTAGGGTCTATGCTTTCTTTTTCTTTTTTTTTTTTTTAAAAAAAAAAAAAAGAATGGTTTATTCAATTTTATTTATTCAGACCATTTTAACTTGACCAGAGAGAAAGAGAGAGGGACTGAGAAAGCAAGCCCCCAGGTCAGGGACTCGAGCCATGGTCAAGAGTGTGGGAGTGTCTGGAGCCTTAACCACCACACCACCAGTTGGTCTCAAATTTTTTTTTTTTAAATAATTATTTTATTTAACTTTATTTATTTATTTTAATTTGACCAGAGAGGGAGAGAGAAAGTGAGAAAATAAGCCACCAAGTCCAGGACTTGAACTGCCATCGGCCAGGGCCCTTAACCTCCACATCACCTTCCGGCCCTGGGCCTAAGCATTTAAAAAATACTCCCTGGGTTATTGTAGATGAATAAAGTTAAAAGATTTTGCTGACAAAGGTACTTTTATAATTATAAACTTGAAGAGCAGATGGTAAAAGACACTCAGATACTGGCTAGAGCAAAATTAGCAAGATTTGACTGTTACTCCTTTCTCATTTTCTTAGGCATTAAATGTCCTCTGACCTTAATCTGCACTTACTGACAAATTGCTTATAAAAGTTAGTCAGATGTAGTAGAAGGTATGTTCTGGCTTGTATTTCCAACATGGCAGTGAAAATTCAAGAATGAGCACTCTGTTTTTCGCTTCCCCGATCTTTTCAAGAGCTTAACCCAGATGTAAAACTCTATAAGCTCTCAATGAAAAGAGGCACGTTATTTCCTGAAGTATTTTAAAGGAAAAATGAAGGGGCCAGCAGGTGGCATGGTGATTAAGGTGCTGGATCCCACATGGCTGCTTCTGTGGTTCAAGTCTCAGACCTGGTGGCTTAAAAATCATGCTGGGTACATGTGTGTGCATGCCCAAAATCCTGAGAGGAGAATGGAGAAAAGGATTGTGGCATGGACATCCTGTCTCTTCCTACCAAGCATATGTGCCCTATGGCAAAAATCTAAAAAAAATAAGAAAAATTAAAACACCAACACTATTGCTTCAATAGTCTTACAAAAAAATGAATGTACGTGAAGGAGTGGACACAAGGTTAAATAATTATATTAGGTTTGTAAGAGTAAAATGAGCAAACTCCCTCATATTTTACCCTTTCATGAATTAAGTAAACTTACCAGTCTGCAAGGCAAAGGACCAAACAATGGCTTGTCTTCTTCACTCAAAATTCTTTCTGCCAGTTAAAAACGGTTAAGATGATAACTTTAAGATTATGCATTTTTTACCCCGATTAAAAAAAGTGAAAATACTGATCCTTTCTGTAGAGAACCACAAGACTGTTACGCTTTGGAACCATTTCACAAGAACGAACACTGAATGAGAAGTGAAAATGAACACATGCTGGGAACCAGCAGTTAGCGTAATGGCTATGTCGCTGGACTCTCACGTAGTCGACCACGGTTCGCGTCCCGGACCCGGTGGCTTAAAACTCATGCCGGGCACGTGTGCGTGTGTGCCCAAGATCCCGAGAGGAAAATGGAGGAGAAGGGATTGCGGCGTGACCATCCCCCCGGGAGGTGGGTGATTTCTCGCTTTCTGTCTCTAATGTCTCTGTCTGTCTGGCGAGCGCACGCGCCCTTATAGTGAAAATCTCTCTCAAAAAAAAAAAAAAATGAACACATGCTCTTAACTGACAAGATGCTATAAGCACCACCGACTTCTCTGTTGCTGTGGCTGATTTACAAACTGTCAATCAACTATTTTATCAGTATATTACATTTCCTGCTTCTAAGTTTTTTTTGTTATTTCTTGAAATTTTTGCCCACTTTAAAAACAGAATTCCAGGGGCCAGCAGGTGTCGTGGTGTTTAATGTGCTAGATTCCCACATGGCTGATCATAGTTCAAGTCCCAGATCAGTGGCTTGAAAATCACGCCGGCATGTGGGGTGTGTGTGTGTGCACGTCCAACATCCAAGGAGGAGAAACAAGAAGGGACTGTGGCATGGCCACCCCCCGACAGGGTTAATTCCCTCTCACTGTCTCCCTCTGGCAAGTGTATGTGCCCCACACATAAATCTTAAAAACAAACAAACAAAAAACCAGGAATCTACACATAATCCCTCTTGAGGTATGCTTGTGACCTGGAGAGAAATGTAACTGCCAAACTCTTACCTATGCTTTGGATGGTGTATGCACAGCTGCCCCAGCACATGATGGGCACACGGGGGTCCTCCTCATTGGGATGAACCTTTAGCCCCACCTTGTAGGTCGCAGTTCCAAATGTTGTTAGCATTTCTTTTATGCTCTCAGAATAAGGGTTCCTGAAGTGAACATGCACAGCATTAGCTCCAAACAATGTGCACACATCAAGCAAATGATTCCGTTTCTTCACAGCTTGCGGCTATAGTAGAATCCAGCTACTTGGCCTTATTCAAAGACAGCTGTTTACCAAGGGTATTTAAAGATCTGTGAACTATCCCTGCCTCAAAGGGTAGGCTCTTTAAGTTAACGATGGCGAGACACAGGGCTGAACACAGGGTCTTGGGCGAAAGTGAACACACTGAACAGAGGAACCTTTAACCCTCTTCCCCATCCCAACAGTGCGTGCCCAGTGCCACAGAGATGCGCTTTCTCAGAGACGCTGCCCTGCCCAGACACTGGGGTCTCCAAGCACGTCCGACAAAGACAGGCCATGTGATAGCTTTGGACCCTGAGAAAACTATTGCTGTGATGTGACAGGTCTATAGTGCCACGCAGGGAAAAATGAGGACACAGAAAACCAAGTACATGGAAAAGACAAGGCAGTTACTAACCATAGGACAGACAAAATTGTTAGAAATAGAATACAGTTACTATAATGTACAACCTGACAAGTGGCTTAACCCAAAACTGAAATGATTACCAGTCAACAGAAAGCTTCTGTTTTTTTAGAAATATGGAAGTAGCTGCTCGAAGAGACAGATAAAATGACAGGACTGGGGTGTAGTGGGAGGTGTGGGAGGCAGAGGCCTGTTTTTTTTTTTTTTTCAAAAACTATTTGGGCCTTCTAGTCCTGTTTCTGAGTTACATGCCAGACAGAGCTTCTAGGTGGCTTCACATGCATTATGTTACTTTATCTTAATAGGACCTCTGATTTATCCTCACATGTAGATAAGGGAATGGAGGAACAGAGAGGTCAAGCAATTTGCTCACAGTGCACAGCTAATAAGCGATGGTGCTATGAATGAACCAAGCAGGTTGGCTCCAGAGCTATGTTATGCTTGCTACTAACTGGGCACAGGGTAAAACTAGGTTGCAAACATTCTAGTTTTGATCGTGATTACTGGGGCCATAGACAGAAATAAGAAAGTAGGAGGAAGCATAGGATTTGGCCAGAAAACTGAGCATCTGGGTGCAGATGTACGGATGTAAGGTGGTCACAGATACCGAGTAAAGGGTTATGGAGGGTCAGCAATGCAGAGCAGGAGAGGCTGGTGAGAGGTACACACACCACATGGTCCTAAATTTCTTTTTAACACACTGCGGTAAATACCATCAAGTCATGCTTCAGCCTCAGAACTCAGCACCAGTGTCCTTTAACACTCTGCTCCTAGCTTGCCGAATCATATTTCTATTAACCACTGGCACAATTTTTTATTTCAAATGGACATTTAAAAAGAATAAAACAATACACTCACTTAGGACGAAAATCAGGCTTGAATCCTTCAGGGAGCTGTAATTCATCCATATTTTCTGAATTCTTCAAAGGGGCAGTATCTACAGAAACAGGTATTTTACACCATTATGGGACAGGCACAGTATTTCTATAAATTTTAGTCATGTAGGTAAAAAAATAAAAAAGAAAACCAGAAAATAAAATTCCCTTGAGTAAAAACTGGCATAACATCCAGGTAAAGCATAAAATATACTACAGCTCTGGCTGACCAAGGCACTTTCTTCAGTTACCTACGTCTTCCCTCAGTTTGGTCTCTGGAACAAAAAGAAAAGTATGCTTTTTGTTTTTATAAAACAAACAAACAAAGAAATACCACCTAGGATATAAATCCTGCTGCTACTGTGCTCCACAGGCCGTGAGGGCAGCGTGTGGTCCATGGCACGCAGACCACAGTTATCACTGCGACGGTAACGCCGACCTATGTCTGCACTCAGCAATGCCAACGATGAAGCGAGCCCGCGAGAACTGAAGCGAGCTCTTCTACACGTGGTTGTTACCCCTGCCCCCCAGCAGCTCTTCTTTTTTTTTTTTTTGAGAGGTTTTTACTATAGGGCTCGTGCGCTTGCCAGACAGAGAGACATAAAGCGAGACCATCCCCAGGGGGGGGATGGTCACGCCGCAATCCCTTCTCCTCCCTTCTCCTCTTGGGATCTTGGGCACGCACGCACACGAGCCTGGTGTGAGTTCTAAGCCACCGGGTCCGGGACGTGAACCACGGTCGACTATGTGGGAATCTAGTGACATAGCCATTACGCTAACTGCTGGTTCCCCCCAGTAGCTCTTCTTGAAATGAGGAAATAAGTGAGAAGAACTCAGAGGTGTCATATGAACTGGTGTGTTTTCAAGGAATAAGAAGTAATGCTGCAAAGTGAAATTAAATTAAAATTTTTTTTAGTAAAGAATTAGAATGAGTCAAATTTTTAAACAGAAGGCTTCGCTTTCAAATACTTTAAAACAATTTGTTATGAAAACACATTTTCTAATGATCTTACACTTCAAGGGACAATGGAAACAGGTTAGCAGAACTTACTGTTGCTTTCTCCTTTCCTAAGAGCCTGCAATGCTTTTATTTGCTGAGATATTGTTCTAATCCACTGAGTCAGATTTGGTTGGTCTGAAAATTTTAACCTGCTAGGAAAGAGTAAAGAGAACATTTAGTAATTTCATTATTTTGCTTAGTGAAAAATAAAAAAATATTCCTTAAATGATCATAGGTTTAATATTTTAAATATACTTCAAATATTGGAAAAAAAAATAAGGCTAGGAAAAAATTTGTTGTGGTAAAAATATCAGAATAGGGGTCCA